AACATAAGATCCGCGCACGAACGTATTATCATGGTTAAATTATTTAAGGGCCTCGTTATAATTAAATGCCTGATATCCGAGGTAGTATTTTCAGATCGAACTTGAAAAAATGACGAACAGTCAAGTGATCTCTTCATTTTAGTGACGTATTACTGTGCTATTTTGTGATTGGTTCATTTTCTTGGCGCAGCCATGGATCGTCCATGGCGCTCGCAGCATCGTCAAGCGTCAGGTGTTTAAAAGTTTTGTTTTGAGCGCGCTATGCAATGGCTCCTTGGAATACGTCTGAAAGTATTATCTTGGATTACTGATGGATCCTGATGTTCTAGAAATAATTAAATGTTTTCTCCACCTTGCAGAAATGTTTTCTGGCTTGCTGCCCTCGTGATGTAAGTTTTTACTTACTACCTTTTAGTTATACGTCAATTTTAAGTCATTACATTTTTCTTTTACAGAAGGGTATGAAAAAACGGTTGTGGTGGAGAGAAATCTCCTAAAAATGAAGGAGAACAATTTGAGTGCGGAGTCTGATCTACCCTCAGAAAGGGAATTACGGCCAACTAATAAGTTCCCAAAAAATCTAAAAAAAAAAAAAAATTTTACTTTGAAGCATAAGATAACCCACACAATTCATTCGTTGCAGATTTAGAGATGTTGCACAGCATTACTAATAATGAAAACTTTAATAGAGACATTGATAAGTTAATTGCTAAGGAGCCAATCGAAACAGTTACCACTAAGACAGGGGATGAAATTGCTAGTAAAAGTGGGTCTGTCTTGCATGATACGTTACGAAAATTAGATGACAGCCGAGAAACAAGTATCGTTGATGTCGTTGAAATTGATCCGATAAGTAGTAAGTAGTAAGTAGTAAGTAGTATCCGTTAAGTAGTTCTAATGAAACACCTCTCATCAACCGTACTCCCATTATTATTGGCAAAGCATCCGTCAGCACGTAATAGTGTAGATTTTGTTTACTTCTACATAGATAACGGCGAAATCAGCTGGGATTCCTGAACTTTACCCAGGGGCATCCCTATGTGCGAGACAAGTATCAATTGTGAAGGTATTTTTCAGAAAATTAATCGATAGAAGTATTTGTACCGAAAGATAATCATTTTAGAAGTTGGATACTTAATACTCGTGAAAGTAAACCACGACGGTGTTATGTGTAGGAAATAACGCTCTTGGTCCCCTATTTACTTTCTTCGAAGTCTCATTCGGTGGCAAAAGTAAACAAATGTGTAACCCCATTTCAACACTTGAAACTCATTAATTAAAGTATTCTATTTCCTTTCTTCCTTCCTTTTTTATGAGATTTAACTGAAACATCCTATTGCAATTTGCTGTGATTCTCATTCAAGGAAAGTAGGAAATTCATTGAAGACTTCAGTGAGACTGCTTGATTGATTTCTTCAAAAACTATAGGTATCCTGTACACAGATTTACAACATCATAATCTTAATCATGCATTTTCATCTTTGGCAATCGAAATTGTGCCCGGTCCTCATTTGTTACTTGCCTTTCCATTTTCAGATTAGTATGATGCGTGCTGCAAAGATCTAACACGTGAAGAACAGGGAGCTAAGGGTCTGCTTAGGTCCTCACTTTTTAAATAAAGAAATAATTGCCCCCCCCCCCCCCCAGCATTATATTCCTACTTTAGATGATATCAAAGCTTAACTGAAAGGTGCAACTGTTTTCACTACTTTAGATGCAAAGGCAGGATTCTATGGGCCTTACCTTTAGACGAAGAGAGTTCCAAACTAACTACTTTGGTACCCCCTTTGGAAGGTTCAAATTTAAGCGATTAGCGTATGGATTAATTTGTGCCAGCGAAATTTTTCAAGCGGAAATGTGCCGTAAATTTGCCGATATCCCAAATCTGATAATTTACATTGACGATTTCTTAATTTTTGGAGATAAAAAGACGCATGATGAGGTATCCTGTACACAGATTTACAACGTCGTAATCTTAATTATGCATTTTCATCTTTGGCAATCGAAATTGTGCCCGGTCCACAATTGTTACTTGCATTTCCATTTTCAGATTCGTATGATGCGTGCTGCAAGGACCTAACACGCAAAGAACAGGGGAGAAAACTCGCCAGTGACAGCTCGTCAGAAAAATCGAGAGACAAGGTAAAGAAAATTTCCCTAGAGAATGCAAGATCGGCCCTTGAAAATAACAAACCGAAACTATCATTCCCACCTACCAACCAGCCGCCTAAAGGGGATGATGACTCCTTTTCCATTCCTAAAGCGCGCCTGGGAAGGACGTGCACGTTGACTACTTAGAACGGCCATCTACATCTAGCATTTCGGATACCCGTCTGGACTCCGAAAAATCTTGCGATGATCAGAAAGGTGCATTGCCAGCAAGTGCTTATCACACTTGTGTCTTCAGCCTACACTGGAAAAAAAAGTCTGCTACGGTCAAGCCGTCTCGGAATCTTGAGAAAAAATCAGCTTGATTCGAGAATTTTTATCTTAAAACAAGCAACTTATTGCTAAATTCAAGATTCGAGATTCTTAATCGCAGCTACCTTATAGCTTGAATCACCTGCTAGCTTGATTTAAGCAGCACAAAAATCTTGAGTCAAACCTGCTGAGTCTTGCATCAAGCCACCATGGCTGCTAATTCTAAGAAATTGATTCCTGATTCAAGATAAGGTATATACTTGATTCAAGATTTCTGGTTTCAAGCATGACACGAATCTTGGAAATAGCTGAAAAAATTAGACTTAAATTAAGTTTGCAGCCAACTTCTTGAATTAAGTTTCCATTGGGTTGTGACCACTCCGTCTTCATTTTCGACACGGGTATTAAGTTATACATTCCTACATTCTCAAGTCATTCCCGGAGATCATCCAAAAGCCGCGCATTTTAACATAGTGCTGCAAATCGAGAACAAAACCCGCGGCAACGCACGACGACTTCAACATGATCCATGTCGAAGAATCAGTAACGTTCTATCCCTACGTTACAGAATTTTATAAAAATGAATAAAACTTTCTGTTTTTAGTATTGGATCCGAGCATTAAACGAAAAATAATTAAGATTCCGCCGAGTAGCTAATTTCAAGCAGCACGGCCATGCTTATTTCAAGCTATACGTTTCTTGGCGGCAAATTTAAGACTTTTTCCAGCTTGCTTCAAGCTGATTTTGATTTGTTCCAAGCGACTTTCTTTTCCAGTGTACGCTTTACGCTCAAGATTGGACTGCGGTAGGCAGAAGGGCACATCGCTGAAAGGAAAAGCCGCTTCGGTAATGGCCCCGGATCCGGGCCTAAAAATGGTGCCAGCAAAAGTTCTGAATATGATGTCAAGCCAGCTAACAGGATAAAGGACATAAAGCATGGACCACAGAAATCCCCGAAGACGGAATAACACGGATCTGAGGAAGTTGAGGAGGACGGCTCATACATTCCTAAACCTGGGCGTGAACTGCCTCCAAGTCACTATCATCCTTGCGCATTTCCTGCCACTGGCGAAGTATCCATTCCAACATTGTGTCTAAATACGTGTCGTTTCTCAAGTAAGTAAGCTTAAAACCATCCGTTTGACGTAATAATTAAGTAACAGACTTAAACTTGAACAATTGTTCTTCCTCTTCTTTTAGAAGAGTTAATTTTAGAGGAATTTTGTGAAATCATGAGTTACTGTACTTAAAAGTTTGCTATCTCACAATAGAAACATAAAATTGACTTTCAGTTTTGCCTATCAGTCGCACTCTCCAAGTTCTGCATGGACTGCAAGCACTAAAAACTTTGAAAAACTTCTAGGGAGTTGCTACTCCCAACGTTTGCAGACTCTCAGAATGAATATCAAAGTCTATACTTTAAGAAATTTGAGAGAATGATTACATTTTGGCTTCTAACTCTTATTTCTCAGCTTCAGAGTAAAGAGTTTCAGAATCAAGTTTAATGTTTTTGGTGAATGTAAATTGAGTGAATAATTTTACGGGATGGATAGGCAGATAGGAAATTAAACAAGCTGCACATTAACCCAATTTCGACTCGCCCTTTTCCTAAAAATCACACAGTCAGTTGATTCTTTTGCACACCAACTCCCTTGCTCTCGTTTTGTAAGGTGTCATTCACGAATATATTTAACGTTTCAGTATTCTTTATCTAATTATAAATATGTTCAAAATTTTCAGGGCAAATTGTGCTGCTTCGCAGAAATCAAAATGTCTTGTCCCTTAAACTGGAAAGTAAATTCGATGAAAGTGTAAAAGAGATCAAAGACTCTCTTGCTCAATTGACTTTATCTGGACCAAAACCATCAACAAAATGAACTATTATATCACAGAAAAAATCGGGACTTTGAATTATATCAAGAAAATCAAGAAGACGCCTCCTAAGACCCCACAAAAGACTTCAACTCCGTTATTTTCTGTGACTCCGCACTTACGAACTTAATTTGTAATTGTATAATAGTAATTTTTCTAACAAAAGTACTAACTCTACTTTAACTGCTGTCTTATTCTAGTATTGCTCTAGTAATCTTGTTTTGATTACTTTTTCTGTGCAGGTGTAAAAACAAATGTGTTCAGCATGTACCAATCGGAGATAGGACAGAGGAGTTCAAAAAACTTTGGTCCATGGGAACTAAAGATGCTCAAGATGCGTACCTACAAAATCTAATTTCCGTTGTACCAGTTAGACGTCCATCAAAGAACAAGAAAACAACCAAGTCTCATGCCAGCTCTTTTATTTACTGTATCAACACCAGCAGTGGCAAAAATAGCGTTTGCAAAGCGACTTATCTCGGAATTTATGGCGTAACTGCTAAGCGAGTTCGACGTCTTAGTCATCTTTTGTTGATGGGTCTTTCTCCAAGAGATAAACGAGGTGTTGCTGTTGGTGTTTCTGGAAATACTATCCCTGGATCACGCGTTAAGTTAATAATAGATCATATCATGTCTTTTCCTGTAAAAGTTTCGCGCTATTCAACCAGGACATACAGGTTTTTGTCCGAACGCCTCAATGTAAGATAATGCATAATTTATTTTGTAAAAAATATCCGGAAGAAAAGGTTAATTATTATTTTTATTTGAAATTATTTAGAGAGCGGTTCAGTCTGGCTTTTGGTAGGCCCCAAGTAGACACCTGCTGCACATGCGAAGCTTTAGATGTGAAAATTAAGAATACAAATTTGAATGATGCTGCGAAAAAAGCAGCAATAGCCGAAAAAATTGTGCATCTGAAGAGAGCTGAAAAGTTCTACTTAAAATTGAATTCAGTGAAAGAAAAGTGTGAAAATGATCCGACACATTTCGGAATATGTATGGACTACATGCAAAATTTATCGTTACCTGTCATTCCTGTTCAAGAAACCTTCTACTTACGACAGTTAATCGTAAATGTTTTTGATATCCATGAATTAAATACCGGTAAAAGTATATATTTATCTCACGAAGGTGAGAACAAAAAAGGCTGCAATGAGGTGTCTTCTTATGTTCTAAATTTTATTGAAAATTTACCCCCGACAGTTAAGCACTTGCACATATTTTCCGACGGATGTTCAGGACAAAATAAAAACCATGCTTTGTCAAGACTATGTGCTGCACTTGTCGAAACTCAAAGATTTTTGACTGTAAATCAGTATATTCCTATTCATGGGCACTCTTTTTTACCCTGCGACCCAAGTAGCATGAGTTGCAATATGTTGCACTCATGTAGTAAGAAAATCGCAACTTATCGAATGGCGTGGATGTTGCCTATTCGCGTGATGCAAGGGGCGCGGGGAATCGCAACTTCATCTTGCAGTCTCGCGACAACATACCGCCATACTGCTGCTCCTGCCGCCAGACCGCATTCGCGTCGCGCTATAATGGACCAATAGAATTTGTCCGTCTGCGTGGCTCGCCGCTCGCGCACCTCCAACGGATTTTGTACGCTTCGCTCGCTCTGCGCCCTGCCTGCTTTTGTTCGTTCGTAGCCTCGTGCCTGGGATTTGCCTTCATCGCGCTTGATTTATCTATACAAGTTTATCATGTTTTACGTGTTTTACGCGGAATAAACTAATTCAGAAACTGTGTGTGAAGAAACTTTGGTGTAACTGTGTAAGTTCGGAAGTTCTCCTGAAGTGTTGATGTGATGCCGGTTCGCTAACCAAGACGGCGGAAACTGCACGGAATTAACGGAATTCTTCAATTGTTAAGTACTTGTTTTTTGATGTTGATGAATGTATTTTAATTTTGTTTTGTCCTAATGTCTCGACGCAATTATCACCGTCCCGAAAAATTTGGGAAATTATCAGAGAGAACCATCAAAAGGAGAATATTGAATGAGGACTCTTCTAGCCAAGAGTCTGACTCTGATATCAGCCACAGCAGCAGTAGTAGTAGTAACACTGGTTCGGTTTCACCTTCCTCCTCTTCATCTTCACCTTCCAGTGTGGAAAATAATGATCCAGTAGCTCCTCCTCCATTTCCCGATCCAATTCCTGAGGATATTAATGACCCTGTAGATGCTCCTCCATTTCCCGATCCAATTCCTGAGGATATTAATGACCCTGTAGATGCTCCTCCGTCCCCAAATCCAGATCATGGCGATAGTTCTCTCTATTACCAATCACAGTTACAACTCTCTTCATGGTGTTTTGTTTTGATGGCTTTTCTGTTGCCGAGAGCAAATTTTCTGAAACGTGGCCAATTCTAGTGTGCTTTCCAACCTTCGATATACTGAAAAATGTGGTTTTCCCCTTAGGAATCTATGCTGGTTGTGAGAAACCTGCAGATTTGAATGGCTATTTAAGGGCATTTGTTGACGAGTTGAAAGAACTTCTGGAGCATGGTTACACGTATAATGGTCGGTTAATAACTATTAACCCTACTTTAGGAATTTATTGCGACACCCCTGCCAGAAACTTCATTACTGGTACAAAACATCACGGTGGATTTTCTTGCTGTGCTTGGTGCAAAGTCGTGGGATTCACTTTTAAAGGCCGACGAGTATATCTAGAGACAACCAGTCCCCCACGAACAGATGCAGAATTTCGAATGAGAGACGATCCTGAATATCGCCCTCCTGACAAGTCAACTCCGTTAGAAGAGATTGGGGAAATTGATTTTGTTAAATCACTCATTTTGGACCCGATGCACTTGCTGTTTCAGGGGGTCATGAAGACCCTTGTTTCAACATGGCTAAACGGACTGTTACCTCATAAGTTCTCGGTCGCTCAGCGCACTGATTTTTTAAATGATGTGAAAAACTACAAAGCTCATATTCCAACCTTCTTCAAGAGAAAATCGGAGGCCATCAAAATGAGCAAAAAAAGGACAAAATTTCCATAAAGTGGAAGGCCAAAGAGTATAGATTGTTCTGGTTCAGATGAGAGGAGGCGAGTTGGTTCTACGTCCTTGCAAGAAAGTAATCAAGCACTTCAGCGGCGAGTTGTGGACACAAGTTTAGTGGACCCCTCAGTAGTCGCGAACCTCCCTATGAATACTGATAGGCAACAAACCAACTGAACAAGGATCTTAAGTCAGAGGAATTTGAAAATAAATATGTAAGTTTACAGCTTCTTTCAGCGTTTGTGTGAAAGTGCTCTTTCATTTTTATATTTCAGAAAATCTAAGAAAAATTTTATTTCTCAAGCAACCCAGCGCTAAAATATATCAAAAAAGTTCAGACTATCTTAATTTTAGACAGCTTGGTAGAAAACTATGGTTACCAAAATGGTTCTAGGAGCTGAATTTTCTGAAGTCAGCTTTTGTAAGGCAATACTGTCTTTGAAGCTCCTCTATAATGGTATACATGTAACTTTGAATCATCTTTCAGGAAAAAACCAGCGTAACAATACAAGTTCAAAAACATCCAATGATGACCCAAAAGCACCCGGTGGTGATCCAAAAGTAACCAGTGATGAACCAAAAACACCTCGTGATAAACCAAAAAAACCTGATGACCCAAAAACACATATTGATAAACCACAAAGACCTGGTGATGCAAAAACACTTAGTGATGAAGTATGAGTGTTCACTGTAGAAAATTTGTCGGGTAAGTATCTGCTATTAGAACTTCACTTTTGCATATATTTTTGCAGTCTGACCGACCATGGTGGAAGAAATCCGTTTCTCTTTATTTTTCCTTTCTTTCATTGTTTGGTGAACTCCCTTGGAAGTCGTTAAATTTCTATGTCCTGTACTTCCTAGGAATTAGTACCTTTTCTGTTCATATTGAAGTATTAAGGAGAAACCTGATAACATCTGAAAAAAAGTAAACCCAATTCTCAACCAGTATTTTCGAAGAAAGATCATTAATATTGATTAGTGTTTTATGGTTTTCAGATCAATTTGCCAGCAACTGGATTTTCAGTATTTCCTTGCACCTATTTAGCTTTTCGATGGTTTAAGTTCCCTCTTTACTGTTGTACTTTTTTCCTTCTTTCTAATTACTTCTTCATGAATTAATAATTCCTATTCAGACGACGGTGATGACGAATTCCTCCTTCCTTTTGACCTATGCAACAAGGAAGTCTTGTTCCCTGAACAAGACTGTATGGGTCCCATGAACTAGAATACCTTGTGGATCAAATATAACAAGACGGTCTTGTCTGGGAGACTAGAATCCTTGTTTCTCGGACAAGGCACTCTTTTCAGTGTAGATATATTTACATGTAGAATACTTAATATTTTAACAAATGAAACACTTAATGCGTTAACAAATGGGTACCGATTTTAATCACCTGTGTATTCTATGCTGTAAGTAAAATAATTTGTCTTGTGTTTTCAGAACTAAGTGACGAACAGTACAAAGAGGACTTAAATTGGTTAGAATCGCGTATTCATCCATGGGAGTTAGCAGTGCAGAAATGGGCCGCAACAGCTAATCGGAGGTTGCATGATTTTGAAACGTCAGAATCAACCATTGATGAATACATTGAAAAGTTCCCCATATTGAGCTCAGCGAATGCATCTCAATTGGTAAGTTCATTTCCGCGATTCAAAACTGAATTTGCTTTTCTTCCACCGAAATATTTAATTTTTAAAAGACCAGTTTTTTTTGGTAGGATTTTTAAAAACTTTCAATCGTTTCTGTATTGTTGCCATAGTGAGTCTACTTGAAAACTAATGAGATGAAATGAACATCATTTGGAATCATAAGACCAAGTGCTGGAAGCGATAAAAGTTCTCTGAAAAAGTATTTTTTCTATGAAAATAAAGCAATGAGTATAATTTGAACACAAGATTCAAGGTATTAATGCAACGAGTTGTGCAATAAGTTGCACTCTATAAATGGTTTAGTACTAGGATTTGAATAAGTAGAACACTGATTATCTTTGTAAGTAGTAAACTTTAAAATCTGTCATTGGTGGAGTTGTTTTTTACTCACGATTTTAAATTTCAAGATTTTATAAATTCAATAGGTGTTTCGTGCCCTGGAAATTTTAGCTGGAACCCAAATTTTCGTTTTTTTCACCATACGCCTTCATACATTGAAAAAAACACTTCGGCCGTGGAAGCCGTGCTTACGGGCTATATAGAGATACCGTCCGTGTTCCGGGCTCAGAGGCCGAAAGTTCCGGGCGTAACACCCGGAGCACTTCGACTGCTCCGGGTGCTACGCTCGGAACTTTCGGCCTCTGAGCCCGGAACACGGACGGTATCTCTATATAGCCCGTAAGTACGGCTTCCACGGCCGGAGTGTTTTTTTCAGTGTAGTCTAGATTTAGCAACTATAACTATAGTGGAAGAAACTCTTCTGATCTTGATTTATTTAGTTAGGTATTTTCAGCCTCTCGGGGACCGTTTCCGTTCCCCTCGGAAAGCGAAAATTTGGCAGGTTTTCTGCCACAAATGACCCCTTAAGAGGGACATCGGGCTCCGGGAGCCCAATATGGGTAAAGGAGACAAGGGTTAAAATGCTTTAACTTTCAGACGAGGCGAAAAAACGTTCCCGCTGAGGATCGATTTGATTCCACCTGAGGAATCATTTTTAGCTTCTTGGGGATAGTTTCCGTTCCCCTAGGGAAGCGATAATTTGGCAGGTTTTCTGTCACAAACGACACCTTGAGAGGGACATTGGGCTCCGGGAGCCCAATATGGGTAAAGGAGAGAAGGGTTAAAATGCTTTTACAGAGGAAAGCATAAAGCAGAAATGGAATTCGCTGGGCACACACTTCCTTTCTGAACTCAAAAAAATTGAAGCTTCCAAGAGAAGTGGCACTGGCACTGATAGTTTGTATTATCCAACCATGACATATTTTGACGACTTGCTGTTCTTACAAGATCATGTGAAACTACGTCCGACTGTTTCAAATGCTCCAAAAGACAAGGAGCCAGATGATAATATAATTTCCTCTCATGTGGTATGTTTTCAGTTTTAGGGTGTTTCATAATGTGAACGAACAATGGCCGTCAGTCATTGGCCACTGTCATCATCGGCCGGCCATTGTTCACCTCGCGGTGAAAATGTTAACAGTGACCGGGCTTTTTGGCCGATGACATGATTAGCCGCGGCCAATCATGTCATTGGCCCTCGATTTCGGCCGATGCTATCATTGGCCGGTCAGTGACAGCATCGGCCGGCCCCCTAATGTTGACCGTAACAGATACATTTGATCCATTTCTTAAGAAAACCATCACCGATTCAAAACATGTGATGCTCATACCCTTAAAAAGGACCAAGACTGCGGGGCCCTCTTG